ATAGATAAAATTGTTTTAGAATTTGATTGGAATTCAGTAAGCTGTAATATTTACCTATGTAAAATATTTGAAGGACATAAAATTCGTATAAATCTCTTAAGAAAAAAAGCTGGTACTGCGAGAGCGGGAATCAACCCTACTTGTCCTTTCAGCACTACACATAATTACGGACTTCTTAAAATAATAAATTGCCATACCTGATAGTCATCCGCTGTCCTGTCTGATAATACAAGCCTCTCTGAATGGTTAACGCTAGGATCCAAAAGTATCTTGTGCGTTGTGGATCCATAAGTGTCACCTATTCGATATTTATATTCAGGACAGTGACCAGTGTATCTAAAATAGGCAATAAGATGATGAATTTCACGTTAATGTGACAGCCGTGGGACTGCAAAATGGCAATCTTACAGTTAAAAGGCCCTAAACGTCAGTAGTGTGCGTCCATTCGCTAAAAGAAAATTGGATTAAACATTTTTGTACTTGTTGCATAATTACTTGTCAGTCAAACGAAGGTATGAACATTTTAAACACATTAAAGTGTTCACGTAATTTTCGGTGTTAAGTCCATAAATGTCACAAGAATTAGGTCGAAGGATTTATCATTGATTTTTTGTAACATTGTTACAAAATACTGCAATGAGGTCGATCGGCACGCTGCACTAAAATATATCATTGTTGGTTTATTTCTCCATATTTAAAAAAAATGGTGTCATCGATCAATTTTGTTGCAAAATTGTTTGACGCATGAATATCTTGAAACATAAATTGTGTTTGTTGCGTGATTTTAAAAATAAAGCACCCTTTAAAGAGGGATAATATTATTAGCCCTAGCAGTAGACAGCTTATAGAGTTTTTAAACCTACCTATCACTATAGATTATACCTAGTTTATGTAAATAGTAGGTGTCGTCCACGAATCCGTCCGCGCGAAATAAAAAAAATTGTTAAGTAGCATATGTGTTCTTCCTTTACATCTGTGCCAAATTTCTTGGAGGTCGGTTAAGTCGTTTGCGAGATACCTAATATCCTTGACTATGTTATGAATTACAATTGCGCCAAAATTTGGTTTACAAATGAGATATTTTTATACAGTTCTAAATGCTGTACAAACTGCTAAAGACTCTCTACCTCAATGTATTTAAGCGTGAGTTTCCATTATCAACAGCAGAACAAATCCATATTTTTATCTCTGTTGTGCCCAAAGAAAATGAGGAAGATAACAATAAGTTATTAACATTATATCAGCAGTGGAAACCGAGCTTTTTAAAAAACAAACTATGTAAAAACTTACCCTGGTATATAATGTGGTTGTGCGATGCTAACCAAATCTAAAGCCATATTTTTTTATTTTAATTTTCTTTATTTAATATAAAAAATTTACTCTATCACCGGAATTAATCACTCATAATTTTTCAAAACATGAATACGTATAATTTCGTGTCTATTCTGTACTGCTCATGAATTTTGTAATATTGTTATAAACTTAACGTGATTTGTATTGTTTGTATTGATTGGACATTTGTAAAATGATTGACATTTTTCATGAGTGACGACGTTGATTTTTTTTTATTTTTATAAAAGGTAATCTTAACTCCTTCGTTATTTACGTACCAGTTATGCTACGAACTAACGTCCGTCGCGTCGGAGTGCGGAGTTGCAAAGCCCTTGACAGAAGTTAACCATGATCCATGTTACATCCTCGATGTTTTCGAATTTCCTATATAAATCCGACGTTTACATGAAGGTAAACATCGATGGACTACACATCTGGGAAGAAATTCACCAGATATCTATGAAGTCAACCTGCATTGGGCCAGAGGCCAAAACTATAGCCTAGTCATCCCAAACTTAAAGTAAATTCAGGGACTCTTATTGGGCACGCAGAGTGTGCTGATGATAAATGCTATATTTTTTTTAAATAAATTGTTGTTAATAACTTAATTGAATTGATTATGTCGCCCTTACGATCGAAACGTTTTCTATATTCTACTCTTAGATATCTTATCTGTCATCAGATCTTAATTAGTTCTCATATTTTCTTTCACACCTTCAGCCTTGAGTGCATTACCAGTCATCCTTTTATCATAATATTAAACTCAACTCATAATTTAGGTTTGTGTAATAAAAAATAAAAACAATTTGAGTTTACTGTTTGTGTTTGCGCGCACGCTATCTCCTCACTTCGTTTTCTTTCGTCGTTCACTCGCGCGCATTTCATACTTCGGCGATTCGAAAAACTGCGGCCGCCATATTGGGTTCGTTATTCATTGAGGATAGACGTGTTCTTCGGTGACGCTTCGTGTCGTGACAAACGATATAATAACTTTTTAAAACAGCATCGTGATAATGTTATTTGAAACTTTAAAATACGTGTAGTGTTTAATTTAATACTTTAAAAGTTATAGAAACAGTGTATACTATGTGAGCTTAACTTGAAAGGCATTCCACAGAGACTGTTGAACTTTATTTTTTTTCGACGGCCCTTTTTGATTTTTTTTTTAAATATTTATGAAGTATTTGTTGTTTGACATTTTGTAGACTATTAATAGTGATTGTGTTTAAAAGAAAGTTGTGGTTTCTATGTTAGGAAATAAACGCGGATTGCCGAAACATTCAAGGTGAGTGCACTAAATATTTCAACTAAGTTACTTAGTACACACTTAATTGCGACAAATGTTCTGTATTAAAGACTTCGAACACCTTTAAGTATTCTTTCATTTTTTTTGTGTTTTTACATCATAATAGTCAATTCCAAACGTAAGTTTGTAATATTTATAACTAACATTGAATGGAAAAAAAAATGAAATTTATATTCTGTACATATTTCAGTACGTACTAATAACAAAAGGTATATAATGTGATAATCTTATCAAACTTTGATAAGCCCATATAAAAACTCTTGATAACAATGTTATCCTTTTTGATTTTGATAATCCTGATATAAAAGGACTTCTTCGCACTATTATTATTTATTTTCATATAATCTTACTTCGAAATTAAGTATAGAAAAAACATTCAGCGATCGGAACATCTCGAAAATTTAAAATTTTCATTAATTTTGAAATTCATTTGGAGATTATTCTACCTGGGATTCTAACCGAAAACATAGAGCACACAATCGTAAGGAAATAGTTTTGTTCTTGTAAGTTTTGTTGGCTTTGTCGACAGGGGACGGCTAGGACCGGTTCAGAAGACGGTTTGCGATACGAAAAAAAGATGGCCCGTGGCCGTTGCTTTGATATTCGAGGTCGTAACCCAATTGGGGACCAGTCGGTGTACATGCACTTTCTCCAGTACCCGCCTGTCGTTTCACCACAGGTGCCTAAAGACAGCGAAATTCTCAAACTTGTTAAAAAGTACCCGTGAAACGTCTAAACTATACTTTTGAGTCGTAATGTCACGACTTTGTTGCTGAGCGTTGTACTGTAAGGGCCCCTCAGTGTATTTACCTTATGTACTCAGAGTTGGTTAATATAGCGCTAAGAATATGGCAACTCATATTAAATGTACGCTATTAAGTTAACAACTTTGTATGAGAAATCTGCAATAGAGGACTCCTTAAGTCTTAAACCTACTTAGTCTATGCACATTGTAAAGTAGGTCAGTGACCTTGAAGGTAACATATCTCATTTCAGCATTAACAACTTGGCAAGTAATAGTCCAAGGGCTAAACATATAAAAGATAATTTACTTTGTTGACGCTTTTCCTAGAATATTCTGTAGACTTTATCGTCTGCAATTAACTTCAATGAATTACTTATTTTATGTGGACTGCGATATTTGTTTGTAGAGGTTCATCTCTATTAGTTTTGACTAATGTACATACAATCTCAGTCCATAGTTTTTTATCTGAAGTAATATGTCCTAAAAACTACTCTAATATTTATGGTGACTCACTCTGTATCATCAAATCTGAACATCTAATCCTCGAAAACCCCAAATCAATTGACTGAATATTCGCTATATGTCGCATCTGTTTCTACTTTCACAACCTGTCTTGTAGGTCAATAATAACAAAATTAATCCGATTACAATACAATAGCTAATTTAAATAAAAAAACTTAAATGAATTCTAAATTCGTTATATTCAAACTAAACGGAAAGTAGGTTTGAGGGGCATTGGCATTACACGCTCCGTCGCGACATTTAACAAGTTTTAAACAAGTAAATCAGCCATCATTGACCTCCTAAACATTTTGTAAAATTAAAAGCAACCGAAATCTATATTAAACGATCTACAGACTATTAAGAAACTATTTAAAGTGGCACGAAAACTTAAAACAGTTTTAAGTGCTATAAAACAAGACCTCAGACATAGCAAGAGAAATAAATTCCCTTCCCACTTTGATCTAATTTCGTACAAAAAACTGTCACCATAAGAGCCTCTTTTTGTTATTGACTATATATACAATCGGTAAGAAAATAAAAATAGCTTCATATTTAAATACAGATACATCTAGAAATGTTTATAGATAATCATATGCCTGTTTTGTGTCGTTGCCTCCGAGAGTTTCGTAAAAAAATTGACCGCAACAAAAGGCATAACATCTGATAGCTTCTAGGAAATCGTTCTATCCATTTCATCTTTATCGCCGTTGCTAATAAGAAAATTCTAGAATCTTATATAACTAGCTTTTAAAGATTCAACACCAACCGATCATGATTGCCAATTACTCTTGCAAATGTTTGCAAAATGGAACCTCTGCAAAAATAACGGTTACGTCAGTTCGTAAATAATTTTTAAGATGAATTCCTCTTGCTCGGTGAAGCGTGGTAGTAACATTATTGACATGAGTCACAAAGAACTGATTATTATGTAGATTTTCCACAGACACTTAAACAGCTATCATGTCATGTTCTGTTTTTAAAACTGTGAAAAGATTGTTAAATGAATCGTTCACGGTTCTTGAATGAACTGGCCGTTAACAATTTTTTACCAGAAAATACGGACATTAAAAAAAGAGTATGTTGTCTATTTCACAACACTGAATTAAAAAAGAACTACAATAGCGTCCGGAACGTCCCTAAAAATAATCACGTATTTTTGTTTCAATTGTTATTTTATCAGTAATTCTTATCTACGGAATGTGTCCGAAAACTTGTTAAATTTCACAACAAATTTATCTCATAACAACGATAATGTGAACGAATTCGTTCTTACAACACTATAATGGTATTACATGTAATTTACAACGGAAATATCTTAATTGTTGCTTATTACAATGATTAAAATGCGCTGGACTTGCTATTGAAGACTGGTCGGTTAATTGCCTTTACTCGTACATATACACATTTTGATTGTTGTTAATTGAGTGTTTGTGTGTCATAAAACAGTGGGCCCATTACAATTGATGCAAATATAACATCAAAGGTCGTTAAGATAGCTAATTGTTATCGCTTGTGTTGTTAAATATTACATTTTGAAGCTTAATTGTTCAGTCAACTAAAGCCGTAATCTGACTTTACGTATTGGTCGTTCATAAGCTAACATTTATAATGGTTATCACTATAAAATATGCTAAAAACCATCGTACAAATAAAAGATTTGAACCAGTGAATTCTTCGTTTTAATTTTGTTATCTTTAAATATATCTTCCATTAAAATTAACAGTCTTTATGTAAGTAATTTAGTTTCAAATCAGTTAAGATTGCTCAAAAAAAAATCTCTGGCAAAAAATTTGCCCAAAAATGTACTCGAGCACTTAATGCATGCGACATTTTAGTCCACTATCGCATATAGATCTTTGTACGTGAAAAAACGTGATCTCTACTCGATACAAAATGTCAGCCCACTTGTTTATTCGTTCTCATTGACACAGCTGATGTTTGAGACATTCTTGCAAACTGACGTGCATAAAGCAATTATTTTTTTGTTTTCAAATACAACCATTATTTCAAAGATAAACTATTATTTATTTAATTAGTTACGGATTACGTATGTAAGATATTTTAAATGCCGATGATATAATACAATTATAACATTCAAAACCTAATGTTGAACATAAAAAATGCTTTGATGAGTGTGGAGCGATGTCCGAAATGACCATTACGGTGTTACTACTCTCTGCCTACCCCTACAGATGAAAGGCGTGTTTGTTTTGGTAACGCTTTTTTGATTTCGTTTTGCGAATATCCACGAGTATCGAATTTTGACAACTTACTCATTTGCCATCTTATGATATTACTAGCTTTCACCCTCGACTTTGTCCGCCTAGAATTAAATAAAACAAAATTGAGTAGCCTATGTATTCTTCCAGATTATCCTCAACGTCTATGCCAAATTTCATCGAAATCTGTTCAGCCGTTAGGGCTACGAACTCTAACAAACATCCATCCATCCATACATCTAAACTTTTGCATTTATAATATTAGTGACATAAAAAAAAATTCTGCATGGTTCTAAAAAGTAACAGGAAAATTTATTACAGGGATAATAAAATAAAATGTCCTCGCAGGTAGACATACAGATATCTTGTCGTGACAATTTATGAGGGTGTATAAAGAGAAAGTGGCTGGCCAAGTGCGGTCTACTCTTGTGGGTGTCAGGTATGCGAAAGTGTGGTTTAGTTGGAGAACTGCAAACCACTTACCCTGAGTTTACATCGACAAAAACATCTGTGGAAAAACAATTAATATTTCAGTTACACAGCATGGGTGACACTACAAATATAAAGTGTTACGAGAATATTGTTTTTCACCATTAGATTTTTTATTTAATTTCATTATTCCCATATTTGGGGAGAATTCAATATTAAGATCAAAATGAACCAAGCATATTACCATTTACAAAACGATGGCATAAGAACTAGCTTTTGTTCGCGATTTCGTCCGCGTGATATTGAAAAATATAGCTTATATTACTCACTGATTTTAATAAAAATGGTGGAAGAATTTTTAAATCTGTCAAGCAGATTTTTCTCGAAATTTATGTGTGAGTTATTCACGATATGTTGGGAACTATTTTTGTATGTAATAAGATCCAGTTTAAATAGTTTATATGATAAAATTGCGTTACTTGTAATATATATCTATACTAATATTATAAAGAGGAAAGATTTGTATTTTTGTATGTATTGAAATTACCCAAAAACTAATGGGCCGATTTTAAAAATTCTTTCACTGTTAGAGAGATAATTCATCTGTCAATAACATAGACTATATTTTTTAAATTCACGATGGCGACGTCGCGAGCAATAACTAGTCATAGTATAAACAGCGATGTACCGTAAATGCTATTCCTTAGTACAAGTTTTTATAACTGTTAGGCTGTTAGCCAGAGGGTTTTTTACATTTTTTATTCAGTGATAAGCCAGTTTAAGAATGTGGATCTATCAAGTATTAGTAGTTATTTCATCTTAAAGATTAAAATTACCATACGATAGAGCAACTTATTATAATGCTAACTCTAAACCCATATAAAATAAAAAAAAAAATAAAAAACAAAATGATGTTTTATCAGACATTTGAGATAAAAATGTGGCTGATAAAGTCATATTTCAGAAAATTGCGAAAGATTCGCTGATAGATAGATGTATACTGTTAAAAATATTGAAATTATACATCTTACTCATATTATAAATGTAAAAGTTTAGATGTATGGATGTTTGTTAGAGTTTGT